CAGAAGCTTTTTTTTTAAAAACTAAAAAAAGAGAGGTTGGTCAGACTGGACCCATTTGGAAATCCAGGCTATTATGCTCAATAATTCTTGTATCAAGGCCACATACCTGCACATAGCACCATGAATTCAGTTAGCACTCATGACTTGATTTTACCTGTAAATTTTCCAGAGATAAATCCTATTTAAATAAGATTATCCTACTGGAACCCAGCTAGAAATACCATCCATAGTAAATGGATTCTCTCTCATGTGCTTCCACCTAGTCACAGGTGCATTTTTACTGAAAGCCAAAATTAAAATGGGAAAATCTTTTATAAGGGGTTAACTGGATGCATGTGTGGGGTTTTTTTGTCAGTTGTATATGATGGCCCAAAACTAGGTTAAAGTACAAAGCTTACTTTGATACAATTAAGCATCAGATTGAACTCAAAAAACCAAGTGAAAAACAAAAGACCCTAGACAGTATTTCTTTTATGGCAAAAGCTAAGTTATACCTTTCATTGCAGGCAGTTGTAATGCCTGGAATTCAGTTACCGTAGAATTTGTAAAGACTTTTCTTTGCCTGTCATTAGTACTTCCAAAGGATATATAGGATCTTGTTTCTTATTTTAAGGATAAAATCATGGAACAGCTAATGAAATTGAAATGCGTTAGTTTTACTAGCATCTGATAAGGTCAATATGGGTGTTTTAAACTGGAATTTTAAAACAAATTTGGTTTAGTGGACTGTTTACACAATTTTGCTAAATAAGGCTGAAAAGTGATTGAATTTATAGGTTTCAACATACTTTCTTTGCAGTATGTAACTTCTTTTAGAGCTTCTGGCTATAATAAATGGACATACTTTACATATAGGTGAGTACTGACAGTATTATGCGTAGGACACTAATAGTAAGTTTCTTCTCTATATAACTTACTCAAATTTCCATGTCCTCCTGTGCAGTTTTGGTATGGGTCTGAATTTTGAGATGTGTGTATTGAGTTAAGGAATCCATGATGCTTGGAGCATAGGTGCAGGACCTCTATTTCCTAGAAAGTGACAATATAAACTTCGTGTCAAACCACTTGTCACTTTTTTTTTTTAATGAAGCTCTGTGCCCAAACTGAGCCTGTTGTCCTGGCCAGACTACGTAGAAGCAAAATCTATATTTAAGATAATCAAAAGCTATCAAGCAAAATTTGCTTTTATTTTCCACGTATATAATTTAATAAAATAATCCAATTAAAACTGAATAGTTGGGGAAAAAAGTTGTTCTCAACTGAATAATTTTTCTGTAGTATCACACTTGTCTCCAAAAGAGGAACATGGATTAAAAATGTAACAAATCATATGTTTTTAGATATAATGTTTAAAAACTCTTTTTTACATAATTTTTCCTCAGCAACACTATTGCAGAAACAGAACAAAATGCGCAAATTTACTGAAGTAATAATATAAGCCTTTTTATTGTACATAACAAGGAAAGCCTGTTCAGTTTAACTGGCCTCTTACGTGATTGGCATTCAGTTCCTTCCAGTGACCAATGCTGAGCAAGAGCACTCAACATTGCAGTACAGTACAAAAATTATCTATAAAATTACAGCGTAGATGCTGTGCTGTATGTGGGCAATATTTTCTGTAGTTATGATTTTAAGAATGTACTTGGGTCAGTGGCAGTAAAGGGCACTTGTGCCGATGTTTATGTGACCTATGACTGTTTAGGAGAATGGCTACCAGTATCACTTCTGTGGCACAGGTCCCTTGGGAATATGCGAAGAAGTTGTGACCTTGTCAAGGTCCAGGGGGGATAATCATTAGGGAAAACATCTATGGACATAGACTGTTGTTTTAAGATCTGAGGTTCAACCCTACCTGCGTTCCTCCTCCAAATGCACAGTACCTTGTTTTTAAAAGGCTGTCTGCTCACTGGGAGTCAGTCACTGGTCAGAGATCCCAAGGAGCAGAACTGCAGGTACTGAACATAAACTCAGCCTGCTGAGTGAATTGTAGTTTGCACATGAAGCTCTGTCAGTGTGGAAGAATTACCAAAGGGCCAAGGTACTGGTTGGACAACTACAGCATCACTAAACTCCACAATCTTTCAGTTGTTGTAATGTTCTTTTGCTGGAAGATGGTTGAGTTGCCCTGGTATAACAGAAGATAACCTAAATAATTTTTTTTTAAACTAAAACTTAAAGCTTTTGTGGTACAATGCTAATTCTTGGAATTACTGGGCATCCTATATATCCATTATGGCAAGGGTGTCAAACATGTGGCCTGTCTGATGGGTCCTGCCTATGGAACCATGTGATCTAGCCCATGGGCACTGCACAGAGCACAGGAGGCCAGCACAGTGTGCACGGATGGTTCTGTATGCTGGCAGCGGTGCCAATCCAGGTTGGGCCCCTGGCCATCTGTGTACACTGGAGCCAGCACACAGGGCCAGTCTGGCAGGGTGCTTCATGCAGCGCAAACCCAATCCCAATCCCAGTCCCCTGTGCTGCTTATGCCACATGCAGCACCCTGGGGTGTCCCACTGGATCCTAGCTCTAGAATGTGCAGACAGCCTAAGGCCCAATCTGGACTTGTCCCAGAGTCGGCATGCAGGGGTGGTCTGGTGCATGTGCCACATAGTCTTTGCCCCGGACAAGGTGTGCCACATGTAGTCCACCCTGCATGCTGTATGCATGGAGTGGTGTTGGTGTGTGTGGCATATGGGCTGGACCCACAGACTGACCCAGCAACCCTCATCTGGCTCGTCTGACATGTCTGCACTACAGAAATGACTATATTAGTAGCTGCCTGTTCCAGGAATGCAACAAGTGTTTTTTATTTTGTTTTCCTAGAATAGCATATTTGGTTGATTTGTAATCCTAAAGGGACTTCTATAAAATCTGCTATAGCTTCCAGAGCTATTCAGATGTCCAGTTTTACCTGCTAGTGTACCCTTTTCTCATTAAATATTGGAAACATTTTCTCGCGTACTAGTAGGACAGTGCCTCACTGGTAAAGGAAATAATGCAGGCTACAATTAGCAATAGTGGAAGTGACATATTTAATGCTGCCTGCCTTCCTCCGTTAAAGTCAAATGACCGAGCCATTCTGTTAGATCAAAACATGTTTGTTTCTGTTTTTACTCAGAATTAGTAATGGCGTATGTAAGTCTGCTCAAGATAAGCAAAAGGTATCAGTCTCTATAACTATGTACCAACAATCAGTATTTTTGTCAGCATATACATGCTCCTTAACACAAACTACTATGTTAGCTCTCATACAACATACATCTTTTTTCCTTCTCAAAAACCAGCTGTTTAGGGTATCTGTAGTAAGTGGCGGAGACGGTTTGGTAGAAGCACCCTGCTCTGATTCCTGCTCCACTGTGCAACTGCTCGGCCATTACTATTCAGGCAGCAGAGGGACTGTGGCAAAGTGAGAACTCCCTGACTAGCCACAGTGCTAGCCTCCTCACCTGGCTCTGGGCATGCTGCTCGCCTTCCTCTCCTGCCATGCCTTGTTGTCTCTTAATTGGTTCTTAATAAAGCAGGAGGCTGTCTTTTGGATGCCCTATTCTCGTGGGCCTACGTATCCAGCTCCAACCACCCCTATACTCCATCCCAAGCCTCGCAAATGTTCCTAACAGCTGAGCTCTGCTCCGGTCTCAACTCATCCCAGTGTTAGGCCTCTTGTTTCTGCCCTATTATGGGCCACACTCCAACTACCTCCCTCTCACTGAGGCCTGTCCCACTCCACCGCCTCTCACACAGTCTCTCTCATACTGCCCCTTTGCAGGGCCACTCTCATATCGTGCCTCCTTTTCCTGGGGCCACACTCACCCTGCCCTCACCCGAAGGGTCCTGGGGCTTGTTTCCCTGCACTCCCTGGCCAGCAAGCGCGCGGCTTCTTGGGCCTCTCCCATGACCCTCATCCGAGTGAGCGCTGGGCGGTTTGCAGAACACTGGAGTGACTCTGCCACTCGTCCCTCACGAGGTCGTTCACCCAGCTGATCTGAATTAGGGGCTCCTGACTCGCCCTGTTGTTTACCCATGGCACTTCCTCAGCTGCTCCACCCAATTGGCCTCTGGCCCACCTGTGGCCTCAGGTGCCCAAAGGCTTGACTGGACCTAACTTGGCCCCCATATTAGCAGGGCCTACCCTCGAGCCCCCTGCTCACCAGGACCCACTTTGCACCCTTTTCCTCACAGGGCCTCATCTCAGGCCCCCTGTTCAGAGGGCCTCACTACTCGCCCCTCTAGGCATTCACATATTGTAACTATATCCCAGCCCCTAACTTTGGCCTCTCTCCTTGGGCTCTGAGCCCCTCACTCTCCCTGGGCTCCTTCCCCCTCCCCACATGCACAGTTGGGGCTCCTAACCTCTGGGCTTCTTGCCTCTTCATGCCTCTAAACTGCCACTCGGGTGCAGGCTGTCTGGTGCCCCACTACACCTGGCTCTACACCTTTAACTCCACTGAGGCCCATACTCTGCCCCCTTACACTGGGGCCTGGGGTCACTCACACACCCCACAGACTCAGGTGGTTGTAGCTGTACCTGGCCTCACTCTCTGGGGTCTTGCAGCCACATGGGCTCAGGTGGCTGCAGCCATGCCTGGCCTCCAACTACCTCTGACCTCAAGGTGGGGGCTGGGGTTTAGGCTCCCTTACTTGCCTTCCACTGGAGTGGCACCTGACCTGGCATTTCTGGGGGGCTGTTCCACCACAAACAGCCCCACCAGCCCAGCCATCCTCAGCAGGGTGCAGTTTTAGGTCTTGCCCAGGACCAAGAGCCTCCTAGCCATCCCCATGTGCTCTTGCCCTTACCACCTAGTGTTATTGGAGCAGCAGCTCCACCAGGAGATGTTGTTTCCTCGCTGCCAGGCAGCAGAGTGCTCCCTCCAGCTCTGCTGGCCTCAATCTTAAAATGGCCGCTCCTCAGAACTGGGCTGCACCTGCTGATTGCCTCTTCAGGCTCTTAAAGTGGCAGACACCAGAGATGCTCTGCCACACACCTCCCCTCCCCCCCTTAGAATAGTTCCTGGGGGAGGTTCCCCCTGCTGCCCCGCCCAAGCAGGCTCCACTCAGGGCCTGTGAAAGCCCTCAAGTGGCGAGCACCCCCAAAGGTGCTCTGCTACAGGGACTCTTTTGACTTAATGGCACATTATGCTTCACTCTGGGTAACCTTTTCTTAGGGCAGTTTTGCTGTCTGTTAGCTGCATTTCATCTCCCTCCTCCAATTTTACAGTTCCAGAGACTCTCTAGCTCTTTTCAAAATCATAGATCCACTCATGACAGTTTTTAGCAGCATCTAAGGTTTCAGCTTTAGTTAAGCAGAAAAGGAAGGGTGAGTCAGCTGAAGATTAAGCTCTGTCCCTGTCCTATGCAGCCATAACTCTGGAAACATCTTTTTTTAATTTTAATCTTTATTCTGCCTTTCAAGAACAAGATGTATGTTGTATGGAAGAAAATATATGCTATTGGATTTTCTTATATATGTGAGGTTATTCCTTTGAATGAAATTGTAGTTCTGTTACCTGTTGGTATAACTACTTAAAGCAACTTACATAACACCAATGTAGATGTTCCCATCTAATAATGGCTAGATAGTATTGAGTCTGGCTGAAGGGTTGTACATTGGCTAAAGGGTCGTACTCAGAGGGTGGTGGTGGACGGGTTGTATTCGACCTGGGGAGAAGTGGGCAGCGGAGTCACCCAGGGCTTGGTCCTTGGGCCCGTGCTGTTCAATTTCTTTATCAGCGATTTGGACAACGGGGTGAAAAGCAACCTGTTTAAATTTGCTGATGATACCAAAATTTGGGGTGAGATGAGCACGCTAGTAGGGAGGGAAAGACTGCAGCAAGGTCTGGATAGGTTACAGGGGTGGGCTAACAAAAACAGGATGCGTTTCAATACTGACAAGTGCAGGGTGTTGCACATGGGCAGTAGTAACCAGCTGCACACTTATAAGATGGGAAACTCCCTTCTTGAGAGCATGGAGGCAGAAATGGATCTTGGAGTCATTATTGACTCCAAGATGAACATGGGCCGACAATGCGAGGTCA